CCAGATTTTTCTTTAATTTATCTTGGGTCGGGTTTTGTTCGCGGACTCAAACTCGAGACATATTATAACAATCTCGACCTTGGCTCGACGTTTGAGCCAAGTCACAATCGCTTTGATAGAAATCCGAATTTCGCTACTACTCTTCCACATCCCCAACGGGCTCAACCGCCACAGATGTCTTTCAAGTCCAAGCCTCGTTTGAACTTCGCCATAGCCGTGGACCTCATCAGAACACCAACTCCACATGCACCTTTAACTGCTTCACAAGGATTTTTCGATACAACCTCCTCAATCGCAGATAAAGCAAAACCATTGTTGCATTCATATCTATTGGGAGATTGAATACGCACCTTGTCAATTTCAGCAGTTACAGCAACTGTTGGCTCAATAGGCTCCACCTCGCTACAAGCACCATCTGTGTCGATTATTTCGTTAGCACCCGCTACCTCAGGAGTTTCTGGTTGCAACTCCACCTCAAGCTGAACACCGTCCAGATCCGTATAAACACCGCTATTAACACTCCTAGCCAGAAGTACTGGAGACTCGTCAAATGTAACTTCTCTGCTGAAAACAAGTGAATTTAATTCCAAGCACCACAACTTATAGCCTCGCTCACCTTGTGCATAACCTAGGAACATGCAATTTTTTGTCCTTCTATCGAGCTTACAATCACTAACTTGAATATAACATGGACAACCAAATATTCTAAGAACAGAATAATCAGCAACGTTGCCTGACCACACTTCTTCGGGAGTCCGACATTCAATCGCAGTCGATGGGGATCTATTTTTCAGGTAGCTTGCCGTACTAAGCGCATCCGCCAGGAATCTCCTAGCCATACCAGCACTAGAGATCATTTTATGGGCCGTCTCTAGTAATGTTCTGCTCATCAACTCCGCAACATGTTGTGGTTCAATGGCACTAGTGCGGTGTTTCACTATGCCTTCCTTCATGCAGAATTCGTTTAACAGCTTCGAGCAAAACTCCATACTATTGTCAGTCTGCACCTGCTTGATCGATTTACCAGTCTCCTTTTCGATCAAAGCTTTTAATTGCTTGATCCTGACAACAGCATCAAACTTGTGCTTTAGCACAAATACCCAAGTCTTCATCGAGTAGTCATCAACATCTGTTAGCATAAATCTGGCACTCTTCTTCGAAGGAAATCGCGACAACCTGCGAACATCCAAGTGAATTAATCCTACAATATCCATGGTTTCTTTGACAACCGTACTGAACTGCACTTTCCGCCGTTGATCTAAATTACAGCACCTGCATATATTCAATTCGTTAGCCACATAACCACATAGCAAATTTCTTTCACTTAGAACCTTCAGGCTTCTCTTACTAATGTGCCCCAAACGCATATGCCACAATTCAGACTCTTGAACCGATGCATTCGACGTCTTCGCAGCGAATTCCGTCACTGTCTCACCTTGAAGCTCATATAGGCCACTATGCTTGATTATTTTCATTATCACCATGGCACCTCGAAGAACTTTCAGAACTCCACCTTCTAAATAATATCGACACCCAGCTGAATCCAGGGCACTCAAGGAAATACGATTTTTCTTCAACTTTGGAACATGCCTCACTCCAGTCAATGTCCACACGATACCATCATGCATTCTAATTCTAACATCACCAACACCAATAACATCGCATTCAGAATTGTTCCCCAACTGCACTTTACTACTATCCGTGCACTGATAAGTAGTAAACCAGTTCCTATTTGGTGTAGCGTGAAAAAAACAACCAGAATCCATAATCCATCCATCAAACGATGAATTATCAGTGACAGACAAGACAAAATCAGCATTATCCGAATTACTGTCAGCAATAGCTATAACATCATCCGCAGGATCAACTCTAATTCCCTTACCCTTGTCGTTTTTCAGCTTTAGGCAATCCCTTCTAATATGCCCCCTCTTGCCACAACTCCAACAGACAATACCACCAGTCCTAGACTGATTTCGTTTATTCGAGTTCATACTACTTCTGCTAACACGTGTACCAGTTCTTCCTCTATTTTCACCTACTAAAGCAGTAGATATATGTTCGCCAGATTCTCTTCTACGGATGTTTTCACTCAGAATTAAATCTCGAACACCATTAAACGTCAAACTTGTTGACCCAGAGGAATTACTAACAGCAGTAACAGTAGTACTCCAACTATCAGGCAATGAGGATAATAGAATTAAAACACGTACCTCATCTTCAAAGTCAATATCAACTGAACTCAATTGACTAACGATCACGTTGAATTCATTAATATGATCAGCGATCGACGCACCTTCGCTCATCTTCAAGTTAAACAGACGTCGCATCAAATAGACTTTGTTGATCGCAGAGGGCTTCTCGTACATGTCCGACAGGACTTTCATCAAACCTGCAGTGGTCTTCTCATTCACGATGTTAAACGCGACGTTACGAGCCAACGTCAGCCGAATAACACCCAAAGCTCGTCTATCCAGCAATTCCCAATCAGCTTGCTTCATCGTCTCTGGCTTCTCCCCAGATAGGGGCAAGTGCAATTTTATCTGATATAAATTATCCTCAATCTGCATCTTCTAGAAACCAAAATCTTTCCCATCAAATCTGTCGATTTTCACTTTTCCTTCTTCTATCGCCATCGATTCGCTTCAACTTAAGCAAGCCTAGCTTTGATACCAATTGTTGTGGAAGCCAAGCGATCGAACAATAAATTTTGACAGAATAAGAAAATAAATCGGACATCAGATTTACGTGGTTCGGTCGTAGTGACCTACGTCCACGGAGAGAGCAGCACGGAATTCCACTGTAGATCAAGCGATACAACGGAGATTACAACCACACTCGAGTCACTCAAACACTCTAAATTTTTCCCAAGCCTCAATTACACCCAATAACGCACGCAGTGTTTAGCCCCACAATTCCTCACGAAATAATCTTTCAATCTCGTGAAGGAATTACACACAAATCCTAACACAAGATTTTTACGACTTGAACACTCGAATTCTTGGATGTAATTTTGCCGAAGAAAGATCCGTGATTGCCAAGCACTCGTTTAAACGGCGCTTCACTTCTTCTCTGGACATGAACAGCACGAAGACCACACTCTGCACTCTTCAACTTCTTCTTTCCAAGGTGCCCACGATAGAATATAATATATGTGCCCAAGAGTTGACCGAGTCATGGTATGAGTCAGATTCAAAGTCCACTTTCCTATTTTGTTGACCAACGTTTATACGAAATTGATTTCCGTAATCTACTGGAACTTTTGTTGGACTCAACAAATCAGCAACTTGAAATCCAAATATCCACTTTCCTTTTTGAAGTCTATTTTTCACGATCAAAATTCCAACATGGCTTTGTACTCCAAAATTGAACAGGAAATATAGATTTCCACGGTGGATATCTACAGATATTCAACTTCCAGATTTTCCTTTAATTTATCTTGGGTCGGGTTTTGTTCGCGGACTCAAACTCGAGACATATTATAACACATTAAGCACGGAAGAGTCAATTTTGTCAATGAAGTTTAAGATCATCAAGGCGACAGTATTTGAGGAATCAGGTTCTCAGACCGTTTCGCGTACGAAAAAGATATAAACTAGAGGTTTCATCACTCTAACGAAACTGCCATAGGCGACGTTGATGATTGCCCGAACGGTCGAACCTTATAACATCGCCGAGCCTACTTCTTTCCCTCCTTATGTTCACTTTTCTCTCTCTCTCTCTCTCCGTCAAATCAAGGCTGATGATTGCTCGACGTTGATGACCATATATCTGCCTCTTTATATGGTCGCCGGTGGTACTCAAGGTCCACCTGGCTCGATCGCACCATAGACAGGCGGCAACTTTGGTTGGTGGTGGCGGCGGCATCATCAGCAGACCCAAGGTGGCTTTGCTCACGGCGGACTAGATTCATAGCAGAGAATGTCGGCAGGCGCGGTAGAGTGACCGGTGCAAACGCGATGGCGAGTGGAGTGCGGTGGCCATGTGCAGGGCGCCAACCATGGTCGTCGCCGTAGAGAGAGAAAGGACAGGAGGTGGGACTGATCTTGTGTTATCCATTTTAGGGTTACACGTGGATCATACCCAAGCATGTAACTCGCTAATCGGATGCTTCCTTCAATCAGAAGTGGAGGAAACCATGACATACATAGTAAGGCTAAGTAGATTAAGATCTATCAACAAAATTGATTTATATATTAAGTGATATGACTGACTATAACCAGACCTATCAAATTGTGGGTTTATTCAACATGTACTAGCGGCTAGCCACGTTACTTAATACTCCATATTTTTTTAATTAGTATCATTATATATGAGGAAATTATCACAAAAGTCCTAAATCTATTGCATTTAAGCCAATTCCATGACTAGTATGACAACGCTTTGTGGCATGTTGATAAGATTGGCGACAGTCATTTAAAGGGATTGAATCGATTGCTAATCTTGAATTTTTTTTTCGATTCTTCTCTGAAAGTTGGTAGTAATTGTATTGTAATTTAGGTGGGTTGAGTTTGATCTTTCAGGTGATGTTCGGTAGTTGTTACTAGTTGTCATGGAATGTTGGAGGCATGTGTTGAGCTCTGTTTTACATCATATTAGATTATAGATCCGGTGGATTTCTGTGGAAAGTGTAGGAAAATGTTAAGGGCTTGTGCCTAATATTTATGGGCATTTGATTTCTTTGACATTTCCTTGAAAATAAAATATTCGCTGCTTCCACTGTGCTCATGCATGCATGCAGCAGAGACTGAATAAGTATTACTATTGCAGTTTTTTCATTCTTGTCCCTTTTCTTTTGACAGTGTTCCAGATAGTTGCACAAAGGCATGTCTGCTAGCTTGATATCATGCACCGGCACACAGTTTAGTTATCTGATTGTAAGAATGCTGCAAAAACTTTCAATGATTAGAGAAGCTGCATAGATTGATGCTATATTAGATTGGCAAATGTGATTCTAATGGTATTAATTCAGATAATTAGTATCACTTATGTTTGTACATACGTAAACTTATCCTCTCAATTCAGTTTACAGACCCTACTGCATGATTTATTCTTCTAATACTAACAACAATATTCTCGTGGCAGAGACTTAGTTCCAAGATAAACTACGATGTACTGGAAAAACTCTTTGATGAACCTGTAAGTTTATCTATTCTCAACACTTTTCTTTTGGCTTTTCAATAGGTAAAATGATAAGTCGCTAGTTAACATGCTTAGTGTGGAATTGTAATATGTTTGAGTTGGGGTTTTCGTATTAGAATTTTAGTGGACCTTCACATAGAGACACTCCATGCGTGGAATAAAGCTGTTTACATTTTTTCCACTTGTAGATTTTGGGTTACTTACTAGCTCGATGATTCTTGGATGTCGTTCAAATATTTCTATTGTTTGCCATGTTTGGTAGGAGAGGACATAAATCTCCGGTGCAATCTGTTTGCTGTACTTTGGATTTTTACCTCGGTTGTCCGTATGAAGGACCTTTCTTATCTCCATTAGTGGATTTTTTTTACCTTGGATGTTAATATGAGGGAGCTTTCTTTTTTCTGCTCTTGTTCTTAGCAATCTTCACAATCCTTTATCATCTGTATTGCATCGTAAGCAGTACAATATTGTCAGTTGTCCAAGTTGGCAAGTTCAAATGCCATTCAGACAAGAGAATGCTCGGACTTTGTCAAATACTCTCTTGGTATATGACACCAGCTTTAGTTCCTTCTACCTTTCTAGATTCAAATCGCGAGTCCATCTTTCTACTACTTGTGTGTGGATAGTAATGAAAGAACAACCTCGATTTACTATTTGCAGCCTCAGCTCTCTAATGCTGAGCTTTCCAGTTCTAAGGATGAATATAGCCTCCCTCTGTGTATTTTTTTTTTGGGCAATTTTGTTCAAGCAGACAATTATGATGTAGAAGCTTCTAAACCTAATCAATGATCAACGGCATTGTTGTATCTATTTTGTCATCTAAGCAGGCGATCCCGGAGAACCCCAAGAAAAGACGAACAGAATTGGATACCAACAATGATGACAAGATGCCTAGCAGCAAAGAGGTTGAAGCCAAGGATGTCGAAACAAACGACGACATGGGTTTGGATGATGAGCAGTAGGATGATGACACTAAAGGAGCGGATGGTGATTTATATTACGGAAACGAAGAGGAAATGTATGGTTACGACGGCGGAAATTATGATTATGATGGCTTTTGATCGTATCCGAAAACTAACTTTCTTATGACATTTAAAAGCCTCGTCTGTTAGAGTGCGAGGGTTGTGAGTCTAGGAAGATCTCTTTGTACAGTATCAGTTGGTCGTCACCAATTTTGAGTTTCCCCCATTTGGGAAAGTAGACAGTTCTAGTTTGGAGATTTTGCTCCTTTACTATGTTTTTCTCATAAAGGGTAATAACAATTCTTCGAAGGCAAGGCCATCGCTTCCGCGAGAGAGCATCTTGTACCGCCAAATTCTTGTGCAATCAACCCGATAGTAACTATTTCTCTCCTTATCAACTCTACTTCAAGTGTTCACTACTTTTATTGTATAAAATAAAGGTTGGCAGTGCTGCTTATAGTTGGTTTATGTCGTGTATGAATATTGCGAAGCAAGTGGAGCGAATTGATACGATAAATGCCTCGATCCATATCTTATTGAAGATTGGATGAGCTTGATGAGTTGGGTGTCAAGATTCTATTGCAAAAGGAGATTTGCCAACAACCCACTATTCTTTTGTACATGTAAAGACTCTCTTTGATTTAACATTTCTCAAAACATGACTACACATTCTTTAAATTAGAATTCTATCAAGCGAGGATTTCCTTCATGATGCTTAGTTTATTTAGTGTTAGTGGGTTCAGTACAAACCCATGCACTTTGGGAACTTACTTAGAAGCAACTAAAGGGAAGATTGTAATCCCTGAGAGATCTTGTTGGTGTCCCACTTTCTATGGACTCGCACATGGACCTTCCCTCCATTAATGAGGCCTGATTAGATAAATAACGGCGAAGATTTGCTGCTGTTTAGTGTTGGTGGTACTGTGCGGTGAAAACATCTGATGCAAATTTGTGCACGAACTATCTTAATTATTCTTGCCAAGTGACTCTGACTTGAAAGTAGATTAATTTGTTCAGGTTTAAATTGATGTCGTCACGTCGCTAAGTAGATTTCTATAATAAATAATTTCTCTCTGGTCATTAGATAGAACTTCAAATAGTGGGTGACTAGATTTTTCACATTAGTCTGAATCTTGTCTAGAGACTCTAGACCTTAAAATTCACGGAGACACCACAACATTATCACAAGCAGCAACTTTAGATGAAAGAATCTCAGATTTGTCACAATCCCAATTGATGCCCATTTTCTACTTATACTCGTTAAGTACTAAGTTGTCAAAACTTCATTGGGCAAGAAGTCAACATCTTAAGATGCCTTCCCCTTAATTGACTTTCATTCCATATGGAAGCAAATTTGCTTTTTTCGAGGGGGAAAAAGGACTGTAATCAATATAATCAATGAATACAATCCACCCACTTACCCTGTTGCCCAAGCCTTTTTCCATTCGATTGTCCCAATTGTCTCCATACATTGTCAGTACTTTCACTCATCAATGGTGCTTCCGCGAAAGTCCCTAAAGAGGCCTAGGCATTTCAGAAAACCTCAAAAAGTGTTGCTCTCTCTACTATGATAAGTGCCCTTTTGTGTTGTAGCAAGTCCACTGCAGGATTAAGAATGAATTGACAGCAAATAATTCATGTAAGGAGCACATAATGCTCGGACATACACATACTTTGTTCAGAGGCACGTTTCATCGAGACACTTTTCTCATGTTTTTCATATATGTTGTGCAGAGTGTGCAACAATACACTTTTGAAGCAATATAAATATGTTATATGTCCCAAACTGCAAAGTGCTCATGAGGGTTTCACGCCCGTAATGAGTCATCTCACGCGCAAAGTTGATCAGAGTGCATATAATATGTTGCATTTTAAGCGAAGACTCATCTTTCGAAGGCTGTTCGTCCTTTAAATAAAAGTAGCTCAAGTTATAAGGCCAATTATCAAACATTTGGAAATCTAGTAAACGATGCACACTTGCGTCAATTGATCTATCTTTCTAAGTATCATGTGCCGTCATTCACAGATTATATATCATATTAGAAAGCAGGTTAAATCCACCAGCTTAATGATTAAACTAAACATGCTCACTGCATCTTCACTGTCTTAATTCCACAACACACCATGCAATGATGGTACCTAACTAACCCTCATATATTTCTCTCCCCCAAAATATTATATGTGAGGCAAAATATAGATGTTTTTTAGGTTAATAATTGAAGGACGAGGTTTAGCATCGTGCATGAAATCCATGGGTGACATAATTGATGTCAGGACTAGCATAAAGAAAGAAAAAGAGGCGACAAAGCATGATTTTGGGCGGTGGGAACTTATTGTTATGTGACATGCCTGCTTGTCATTTATGTCCAAAACGACAAGCGTTCTCGTCGCTTGGGGCCTTCCTCTCGCCCTGATTTGAGTTTAGGTAGGGCCAAAAAAGTACAGAAATTTCAACAGACAGGGACTTAGCACTTGCGGTTGTAGACTTGTAGCGTGTCATCGTGTGAATGTGGTTACACTTCGTGGGACTTTGTGCAAACTGCAAAGTTTCAGAGATAGGAACTAGCCAGCACTTGTGCTGACCATTTTTTTCAACTATTATTAGACTGTAATAGATTACTGTGTAATTACTTTAGATTTTATTGGAATGGTCACTTGGCTGATGTTTCGGTAAAAAATAATTAAATATTTACTAATAATTCATGAACAATATCAAATAAATTTAAATTTTAGAGGTCATATTGCAATAAATTAAAAGTTCAGGAGCATTTGAATTATTATCTTTGAAAGAAAAAAGATCCCATGCATTCAAACTTCCTAGAGAGAGAAAGCCGGCTCTTGGAGGACACTTTTAATGTCTGGTGATTGTACAGCTTCATTTGCAACCAAGGGCCTATAAGAAAGAATAATGTTGTGGGTGCACAGATTAAGTTAATGATACTACGAAAAGGATACATGGAAAAATAGTAATGAAGTAAGAGAGTTAGGCCAGTGGGAACTCGAAGCCCATCTTATACAAGTGGAAGTTGACTTTGTGGTTGGAGAGAAAGATTAACTTTTCTTTCTGGTGCATTAAATATTCAATCAAACATTATATTATATACAAAAAATGAAGAAATCCCCATTGATATTCCTCTTTCTCTCTGTCTCTCTCCCTCTCTCTCTATAAAGAGTTCCATCTCACCGCACGCATTTTTCTCACATGCCCATCACCAGACTTCACCTGCCCGACTTTGCTTTCACGATATCACCAAAAGCATTTACCTATTCTCAACCTCGAAGACATGGCACAGCACAAGTCCACCATTGCTGCTGCGAGGCTCCTGGTGCTGTTTCTGGGGTTCTCTTGCCTTCTCTCATCCCTTGCGGTTCCTTCAACCAGTAAGGCTTGGATTTGGAGATTTGGAATTCCTGAGTTAGCCTTTTGTTGTTTCTGTAGATTGGGCAGTTCTTGATGCTTTTGAATTGTTGTTCTGTTTCGCAGGGAGTCTCAAGTCAAGCAGGAAAGAGGATGATGATGAAGTATCAGCTCCAGACTTGTTAGCTCAGGTTCTCTCTCTCTCTCTCTCTCTCTCTCTCTCTCTCTCTCTCTCTCTCTCTCTCTCTCTCTCTCTCACCTGCCTGAAAGTTAATTGGAAATCAAGCTTCCAATGAATTTAATCGTCAAGTACAGAGAAAAACTCGGGATTTCAGCTCAAACAAACCTTTCATCCTTCTGTTTATTGATCTTCTCCGTTTCAATCTGGGGCCTAGTGGCTTGCTATGAACATAGTGAAAGCCTTGCCTTTTCTTCTGTGCATCTCTCTGTTTTTATTGAATCCAGCACACCCAATTTAGGCCTTTGCACAATTTCTACAAAACTCTAGAGAAGTTTGTGAGATAAATGGATAAAGAGCATGGAAACATGCATGCTCCCGCAGTCCCACTCAATGTGACCTTGACGGTGGGGAGCCTCACCTTATGCACTCGGACCAGTCTGCGTGCATTTGAGAGATTTTTTTTCGATTCGAAAGATTTAGATACCTCGTGTCATAAGGCTTATTTGGATTTGGTGCTCTAAAAACTCTTAGATCCGGTGGATCTCACACCCATGAGACGCTGCAATACTTGTAGTTCTCTCTCTCTCTCTAATTTCTTGACGCACCCATATAATGCTCTGTTTAGAAATAAGCAGACGCTAATGAGGCATGATATTGCCAAAACTGCAGGATGGAATAATGGGAATGAGTGAAGGAGGTGAGATCGTGTTCATGGAGAGGAGGATGGAGATGGAAAGCAATGATTATCCTGGAACAGGAGCCAACAACCATCATGACCCAAGAACTCCTGGAAGAGCCTAGAGTGTCTCTTTCTATATCTTTATAACTACTGTATATGTATATTCCCATGTATAATCTAATGAAGGGAGAGAGAGGGTCAAAGAGAGAGTTGGGATTTTTCCTTTCCTTTTCTTTTGTTTGTGTTTTTTTTCCTCTCTTTCTTGGGGTTGAAGCTTCTCTGTGTTGGTGTTGTTGGCATATGAGAATGTCTTGTCATTTTACAGAAAAACATATGTTGTAGTGGTCTTCATTTAATAGAAAATGGTGGGCACACCCCACTGAGTAGGTCGCGAGGCGGATGTGACTTTCCATGTCTCTCGGGTGTGTGTGTAAAGGGTTAACTTTTCATGTGCCTGTGTGGTGTTTTCTGCAATTCAGTATTTGCCTAATCTATGATTGCATTGGAAATTATGACCCCAGCTAAATCGTAAAACAAAAGGAAAAGGAGGAACGAAGAAAGTCATCGGACAAATTCATTCTACCTTTATCACGATGGACATGGAAAAACGATTGTGTGCTTAGAGATTTTGTGTTAAATTATATCTCGAATTTAAGCAGTTCACAAAACCCGACCCGATTGGATAAATGTCCAAGATTTAACACAAAATATGCACTAATTACTTCTCTTAGCCAAGTTTGACTATGTGACCAGAGAGAGGACGTTGGACAAAAGAAAGCCACTAAATGACAAAAGAAGGTGCTCACTTCTTCGTTTTATTATATATTAGTTTCGGTGGAGGGTCCAAGACAACAAAAGGAAAGTTGTTGACCCTACCTATATAAAGAGAAGGAATTAGGGCGTGGGTTCTAAAGAGAGACGACTGTAGCCGCCAGGGGCTCTCTTCTGCTAGAAGCCCTAGGTTGTCCTTTCCTTGAAGAAGAGTTGGGTCTTGAAGCTACAGGAGCCGCACATAAGGGTCCCTTCGAGGAGGGCACACTGTGGCCGCGGGGGGTTTTCCTTCGTGCTCTTTCCTTGTACGCCGCACAGGGAAAACCCAGAAGCCACGGAAGGAGGATCTCGTGTGGGTAGACAATGAGGTAGCTCTAGACACATGAATATTGTGCTGTAAATT